GTTGTAGCGGGAGAGCGAGCAGATAACGCGTGCGGCGGCCGCAGTGTGCAGGTGCGGGGCGCTGTGCCCGGCGCCAGGCCGCCGCTCTGAGGTAAGGGGGCACGGGAGCCGGCCAGGCCCCCGCTCCTCGAAAGCCTCTGTGCCCTCACCCAGCTTCCCCCCCCCGCTGTCTGGGGGCCCCTGCCAGAGCCGAGGGGCTCAGGGATGCGGCCTGGCCCTCACTTGGTTTCACCGACATTTTTTTCCCCTCACACTTGGAAGCGGCCTGGCAGGGCTTGGCTGTGCTGTCAGGAGCCCCAGGAAGAGCAGCAGAGGAGGCACAGCCTCGCCCCGGATGAGCACGGGCCCCCTCAGTGCCTGGAAGTTGTTCTTTGAAGGCGTAGTGTAGGGTTAATATATTCAAATGAAATGTAAGGCTGTTTCTGTGGCATCACTTAATTTTTCATTTTTGTCCACAACAGGCTTAAACATATATTTTCCATGCTGCCTGAGGCACACAAAAAGCCAACTTCTCATCACTAGAATGACTAAAATAAACATTAGTAGAAAAATAGTTATACATGAATGCCCCCTGCGAGATACTTTTAAAGTGAAAAACATTCTACTTAACTAGTAAAGAAGAATGATACAGGATAGCTGTATGTTTTTGTGCAACTATTTTCTCATTATTTTAGTGTCCTCTTGTGGAAAAATGCAGAATTGAGGATACATTTTGGTTCTGTGTCCAAGAAACTTTGTGGGTCTGGGGGAATTTTTGAAACCCATTGCACTGAAGGTTATTATAAATCTGTTGTGAAGATTTAGTAAGATTGAGTGCCCTCTTGTCCCTTTTTGCATTTGAATATGTAACTTTGGAGGTTTCTCTGTGACCTTACTTTTTCAAGGGTGAGATAAGTAGTGTATTTTGGAGTCAGGCTATGTTATTAGTATTTATATTAGAATAATATTTTAACACTTTAAAAAAGGCTTCAAAGCAGTCATTTCTGTGAATAATAAAATCAGTAGCTTTATTTTCATGTTTCAGGTGTGCTATGGTAGGTGCTAAGGTTCTTTTTTTTTTGTAGTTCTCCTTGAACTAAGCACAGAAATCCCTTCAGTGAAAACTTACTCAAAGCAGTTTTTAAGTGTATTTCTGACTTGGTTTTCATTACATAATGGGATCAAGTTATTTATATAGTAAAGGTCAGAAGGTTCTGTGGGAGAGGAGCTCTTGCCCTCTCTTTAAACATTTGAGCTCTAATATGATGAAATGAAGCATGAAGGCAGAACCTTGATTTTAATGATACTCTGCGTTAAGCACAGGGTTGTGTAGAGTTATCCCTCTACAAAAGGGAAAAGTATGTAAAAGAGTTGGGGTTTTGAATATGAAAGACATGCAATTAATGAACTCATGTCTTTTCTAAAAGAGGATCTTTATTAATGCTTATCAGCTGTGTTGATTAAAAGATTTGGGATTTAGTTGGTTGTTTTTGGTTTTTTTTGAGAGGGACTTTTGTAAACATCTTGGTGGGAGAAAAAGATAATTGCAAAAGAAATTAAAAATGGTGTCAACATTTGCAGATACTGGAAGAAGCACCCCTGCCTGGTAATCTTCTGTTGTCCAGTGGTGTCCAAAGATCCATGAGATTAGCAAGCAAGTACTTGAGTTGAAGAGCCAGAACAGAGACATAAACTTGCAGTAGAAGGTTATACAATCATCAAAGCACTGGCTGGGAACCTCCAACAGTGGTATGTGTCTGATGGGCCTGGTGTTACTCTTCTTTTTTTCTCCCCTTTTTTGCAGGGACATGCACCCCAACAGCTCTGGAATTTGGGGGATTCTTCCTCTGTTTTGTAAGGAATCTAGAATTCAGGAACAAGGAGCTTTCAGAGATGTTACTTTTGAAAGTTCTTTTGACTTTCTAAAAAGTTACTGGGGCAACTTTTTTTGCTGCCATTTGTGCTTAACAAGGGGCAAAGCTATGGGACTCAATGACTTTAATTAAAAAGTATTGTTCTGTTGGTTAAAGAGGTAGCTACCACAAATATGTGTTCACTAGATAAAAATCAGGAGGTTTTTTTTTAAAGAAATACTCTGTTAGATCTTCCTGCCAACCTTTAAAACAGTGCAAACATCTAGTGTAGCATGTGTGCATGAAACATCTTTAATGCAGTAATAATCTCTAGTTAATAATTAAATCTCCAAGAGCTTTTGTAACTTGTGGATGCTACAGTATTTAATCTCTCTACATGAGACTTCTTAAAGAGGAATATTAAGAATTTGAGATTCATGAAGGGAATCCTAGCCTTATGTAAAGACTGATTTAACATACCGCAGTTCTAACTTGGGTTGGTGTGAAGAAAAATTGGTATCTCAGACTAACAATGATGCTGATTTTGTAGTTACAGGTAAGGTTTTTTTAGGCTGTCGATTATCAGATTACTGTTCAGAGATGCATTAATGAGAGTCACAAGTGCTGAAGTGTGTCAGTGACACTTGGTTAGTTTTAGTCGATATGGTACTTATCACACTAATGGATACATCGAATTAATGAAATATAGTTATGCAACATCAGTATGCTAAACAGCAGGTCTTCATTAAAAGAGATGATGAACTTTTAGTATGTGGGAGTGGGATGCCTCCCCCCTCTGTAGCCTCTAAAGTTTCTACTTTAATAATTTCTCCTTCTCTGTAAGAATTCACTCCCTCCTGTCCCAACATCCACATCCAAGATTTAATAAATAACAAAAAAAGTTTTTTAAAAAAATGGAGGGAGTGCTGCCATCTCGCTCTTCCATATATGCAGTTTTATTCTAAGAGCTCTAGGGGTGCAAAATCTTAATAAAACAGATAAATGTCAGAATACACACAGATGTTTCTCCCAAAGTAATATTATCCTACCTGTTTGCAATAGACAGCCTATGTAAAGAGGAGTGTAGACTAATACCATCGATTTGGGATGCCATCTCTGAAACACTTCAGTTTTCATTTTCCACACAGGAGGTTGGTGGGAGATCCAGTTCCTGTTTCAGAGGTTAGTGGCTGTATTTGTAGAGCCAGCATTAAAATGCTCATTTTCTTCTGTATTGTTTTGTAAAAACAAAAACAAAAAAAACCCAAAACCTCTTCCAAAACAAAAAAAAAAAACAAACAACCCCCAAACCTGGAGTTTGCAACCCTTGGCAAGTTGCAGATGAATTTCAGAGCCGTTCTGTATTTGCCAGCAGTAGAAATGTCGCCAATGCTGATGCAGTTTTAGAGCTCTCCTGCTTTGTCAGCACTTAAAGGAAAACCAGCTGAAGGCTTCTCCCCTTTTCAATCTTTGGCAAGTCCACGTCTACTGATAGAAGAAGAGATGTGTGAAAGTTCAGGATATCTCAGTCCAGCAGTTCATTGCACTGCTGGTTAGTTTGCTCTTTGAGTCCCAAGTAACTTTCCCAGAATTGCACAGGAAATTTTAGAGTGAAGTAGGGTGAGGGAATAACAGGGAGGAATTATTAGCGAGAAGTAGAATTAGTACAAGGTAAAGAAGGGAAAATTAGAGCTTTCTGAATTTTTAAAGGTGCTTTTTGCTAGAGTTCCATTTTTTGCATCTTATCTCCCTAAATATGAAGCAGGCTAATGAAAAGCTAAAGAGCAAATTAAGATCTTAAAAAAAGGGAACACTGATTATTTTTAATTCTTCTGTAACTGTTCTTAGAAGGGTGCTTTTAGATTTTAGTATTATGCACTGCTTATTGAATGTGTTAAGCTCTGTAATCAATGTATTCATTTAAAGATAAGGAATTATTAAATAATTTTCTACGATCTGTGTTTTAAGAGATTATGGTTTTCTATGTCTGTAGAAGCATATGCAGGATTTTAGGAAATAAACCAGTTTCTAAGACTTGAGAATGCTTGGGAAACTAAAGCTTTAAATCGGAGATTTACTATGGAAAAAACATTCTTTCACTTAGACCATTGTAGTAGATCTTTTAGGTCTGGAAGATAGGTGAGCAACCCTCTGAAGTTAAACTTCATGAGATGAAGAAAAAAACCTGTTTTAAGTTCAGTGCTAAACATTCTGTTCTTCTGTTCTTAAATAGTTTTCTGCTGTGCTCTGTATGAGCATGCAAGTGCTTTTCTGTCCTCTGACATGGTAATTCATAGCAAGACCTTTTTCATCAAGACCAGTAGGGGATTATCTTAATTAATTATAAATCAGGGGCCAAGATTAACTGACATTTTTTGTTAAAGATTATCTTTTTACTGGTTTCAAGACACGAAGTGTTCAGATATTAGCTTAGGAAATTTTCTTTTCCATTATAGCATTTATCTTATGTATGAATTCCCAAAGGAGTTTGGGGCTGAAGTTACAGTTGTGAAGAGAAATAGAAAACCTGCAGAGAGCTTTGCAGGACCATGGATTCCTTTATTAACACTGAATTATTTTATCAGCTTGCCTTATGATTTTCAACATTGTGTACTTAAAGCTACAGAGGCAGTTTCTAGCATTAGTAATCTAAACAAAGCCGTTCAAGGGTGTTTGACCCTTTGATGCATTTGTCAAAACCTTCCTGGTGTTGTTGGGAGTAAAACACACGCACTAGCAGGCTCACTTCCACTTTGTGCTGTGAGTGTTTGGAAACAGGTGTGGGCTAGTATCACACAGAGTTTGTGAGATCCAAGCAAATCCCACATGGATTTTGCTGGCTTAGGCTCATGGCCAGACTGTAACCCATCTAAAATGTGTGCTGTAGCTTGGAAATGTGCGGTCTTTTTAAATGTGCAGAGCAGTAGTGTATTGCATACATCCTTTCTGGAATATGGACGAGTATGTTATCTAACCCCCTCCCCTAAGGCTGGGGGGTGGCAGGGGGAAAGCATTTTTATGCACAGCAACACAGTAAAGGCTTACCTATGGGAAAGCAAGATGAGAGGAGAGTTGCCTTGAATGCATACTGTGATGGTAATGTCAGTCACCAAAATGGTTCAGTTATTTCAGAAGTTCAAAAAAAGCTCTCAGTGACATAGCCAGTATATTTAAAAACGTTGAATTAACACTTAGCGCACATGAGGCGTTGCTGTTGGAGAGTCACTGTAAGAGTGCAGTGGCAGCACTAAATAAGACTGTAATGTGCAAAAATAGCAAAGTAGCTTAGCTCCCCTCATGGGGCTGCTCTCAGTGTGGACACTCCAAGTATTTATAGCTGCCCTTGGCTCCAGGGAAGTTAAACAGTTCAGGTTTGCTTTAGGGGTTCCCAGTGACACTTCAGATTAAATTTGGTGACATTTAATATTACAAGCAAGTGCTAATTATACTCCTTACAGCTTTTTGGGTAAGCAGGAAGTGGTTTCCCATCCTCAGCAAACTGTGGCACATAGGGAACATTCCCTCATCCCAGATTTAAGTTCCTAGGCGGCCTTCCCCTGGTTGAAACATGTTTCTTCACCTTTTCTTTGTAAGGTGTTCATGATTATCAGTGTGAAGTGGTAGCTTACAGCTGCTTGGGCTTCACCCATCCCCTCAGTGATGGGAGGGAAGGAAAAGCAGCATTTGGCATTTTTTGAATGTGCTGTTTAGTGGCTTTGAGTGCAAGGGCAGTACCTGCAGCAGGATCTGCCCTGGGCTGCCTTTGGCCTCTGCACTGCCCAGGAGTAGAGACCTGCCAGCTTTCTGTACTGGGCAGGAGGGGCTGCCCCCTCCCTTCCCATTTCTCTGTGAATGTTGCTTACTGGCAGTGCTTGCCCCAACTGTTTCTGCTTTGCTCTGTGCCCTCACTAATAATTTTCTTCCGCGGGTGAGGAACTTTGGGGCGGGCTGGGTTATTTTATAACTCTCAGGATCTCTGGGGGCAGGGGAGTTGCTCTTCATCTGTGGTCATTCCTCATGCCAGGGCTCCCTCCTGTCCATCCCAGGAGGGCCATGTGTCTGCAGCCCTGTAGCTTCCTGCCTGTGCAGTCTGCATAGCATAGCAAACATTGTGTCCCCACAATGGCAGGGGCTCAGGGTGTCCTGCAGTGACATGTCTCTGAAGTAGTGTTTAGGTAGTATGTGCATGGCTGTTGGGAGGCTTGGTCTAAAACCTGTTGCTGGCTCTGTGGTTCTCTGAGCTCAACCTTGACCTTGTTTTGCAACAGACTGTCCCCTGAACATCTGCAGCTTTCTTGGGTTTTAAGGGCTAGTCTGCTGTGGGGGTTGCTAAACTCTTCCTTGCATGAATTAATGTAGCTTCACCTTTGACAGCAGCAAAGGGAGCTGCCAGAGGTCTTACATAGCATTTAAAATATCAGCTGCCAGTCTAGAGCAGCTGCCAGCACTAGAGCTCTGGCAGGGAGAATGTTGTCACAGGGCAAACGGGGGAATGTCAGTGTGGACACAGCATGAGTCAGGCTGGGCAGGGACTTGTGTACAGAGTACCCTGACGGTGGTAAGATGCCCTTTGAAATCTCCCAGCACGTTGTCTCCTGTGTTGCTTGGGTCATATATAAGGAAATTTTTGTTACTGGCTCTTGACTGTTGTGTTTTGTATTCAGACCTGGCTGTAAGTAGCCTGTCAAGAGTGTGGGGTCTACACTGATAAAGTAATCCTGTGCAACTGGTAGTCTCTCTTATGGGTGAAAAATTAAGGCAAAGGACTAGGTAGTGAAAGTCCTAAGAAAGAATGTAGTTTCTAAAACCACATATATGTCAATTTTAAGGTTTTTAATTTGCTTTCTCTTTGAAATGTTTGTAACTCGTCTGTTGGTTGGACTGACTTAACATGGG